CTTTGATCACCACTGTAAGGTGGGGCTTTCATGCCTTCTCAACGGGGTTTCTCGAGCTGTGACCGATTGACCTTCGATCTGATGTTGCCAACCTAATTCGAGGACTTGGCAATAGAGCTGCAACAGTTAATCGATTTAGGTGTGTGGGGGTGCGGTGGTGGAATAGGTGTATGGGGGTGCAGTGTGGACCAGGTGTATGGGTGTGAAGTGGTGGAATAGGTGTGTCTGGGTGCTGTGGTGGAACAGGTGTGGTGTGGAACAGCTGTGTGGGGAGGCAGTGGTGGAATAGGTGTGTGGGGGTGCTGTGGTGGAACAGGTGTATGGGTGCAGTAGTGGAACAGGTGTGTGGGGGTGCTGTGGTGGAACAGTTGTATGGGTGTGAAGCGGTGGAACAGGTGTATGAAGGTGCAGCGAGGAACAGGTGTATGAAGGTGCAGCGAGGAACAGGTGTATGAAGGTGCAGCGAGGAACAGGTGTATGAAGGTGCAGCGAGGAACAGGTGTATGAAGGTGCAGCGAGGAACAGGTGTATGAAGGTGCAGCAAGCAACAGGTGTATGAAGGTGCAGTGGTGGAATAGTTGTGTGGGGGTGCTGTTGTGAAACAGGTACGAGCTACGCTACGCACGCCGCAAACGCCACGCCCACGCCACTGCTACCAACAATGGTTCAGAAACAGGTAAGGGGGACCTGTTTAAATGTTTCCTGTTTAAAAAAAAAAAAAAAGTGGCACACTGCAGAACACCAGCAAGCTATAGAGGAACACCAAATCCCAGCAATAATATATTAAACAGCCTGTACAATGTATTATTGCTGGGATTTGTAGTTCCTCTATAACTGGTCAGTGGTAATCTGCATTGCGCAGTATAATCATTATACAGTGCAATGGAGAATACCACCAGCTATAGAGGACTACATATCGCAGCAATAATACATTATACAGCGCAATGCAGAATAACACCATCTATAGAGGAATGCATCAGATCCCAGCAATAGTACATTATATACATAATAGTATAATGTACTATTGCTGGCATTTGTTGTATTCCTCTATAGCTGCTGGTATTCTGCATTGTGCCATATAATCATTATACAGCACACTGCAGAATACCACTAGCTATAGAGGACTACAAATCCCAGCAATACATTATATACAGCGCAATGCAGAATAATGCCAGTTACAGAGGACAACAAATCTCAGCAATAGTACATTATAGTATAATGTACTATTGCTGCATTCCTCTATAGCTGCTGGTATTCCGCACTGCGCCGCTGTATAATGTACTATATTGCACACCACACTTTTTTTTACTTCCACCGCTCCAAGCTTGCTCCCGTGATGGGACTACAATCTCAATACAAACTAGTAGTCCATCACTGGAGCCTTTTTTTTTTTATCTGATTAAATCGAACGTAATAATCGTCTAACTAATCGATTATGAAAATAGTCGTTAGCTGCAGCCCTACTTGGCAAAGCCAGCAACGCAACACCACTTCTCATTTAAGTTGGTCTGTAAGGGCGGCACTTTGACCACCACTGTAAGGTGGAGCCTTCAACAAGGTTCCTCCAGAGGTGTCTAGCAGTTATTTGAGCTATGGCTGATTGAACAGCCATTTGATGGTACCCACATAGCTCCAGGACTTGGCAAACTAGCAACATGACACCACTTCTCTTTTTTGCTGCCTGTAAGGGTGGCATTCTGCACACCACTGTAAGGAAGGCCATTCCTCCTACCGACCACCACTGTAAGGAAGGCCATTCTTCCTACCGACCACCACTGTAAGGAAGGCCATTCCTCCTACCGACCACCACTGTAAGGAAGGCCATTCCTCCTACCGACCACCACTGTAAGGAAGGCCATTCCTCCTACCGACCACCACTGTAAGGAAGGCCATTCCTCCTACCGACCACCACTGTAAGGAAGGCCATTCCTCCTACCGACCACCACTGTAAGGAAGGCCATTCCTCCTACCGACCACCACTGTAAGGAAGGCCATTCCTCCTACCGACCACCACTGTAAGGAAGGCCATTCCTCCTACCGACCACCACTGTAAGGAAGGCCATTCCTCCTACCGACCACCACTGTAAGGAAGGCCATTCCTCCTACCGACCACCACTGTAAGGAAGGCCATTCCTCCTACCGACCACCACTGTAAGGAAGGCCATTC